AACCCCAGGAGCCCCCGGGGTTAGCCAAAAAAAAAAAAAAAAAAAAATGTATCAACTTAATAGTTACGAGGATTAAATGAGATAGTGTGTGTGAAAGCTTGCAACAACATGACATACACTAATGAATTTTGGCCATGTTATTCTAAGAAGTGCCACAATAAAGAAACCTGTTTAATTCAGCTTTCCCTTGCTTTATTTAACCAAGCTATCATTTTTATTTTAAAAAGATTTTAAAAAATTTTATAATCTTTATTAACATCCCCGGGAACTAGTGTTTCTTAGTATAAGCTTTGGAAAAATACTGCTACAGATAAAAATCTTAGGAAGTATTATGGCATGCATGGCCAATGAAATTTTTCTGTATTTTTTTCTCATTTCTAGGTGGTGCTCTATAACTATAATAGAAATGTAAAAATAATAGCATTTATATTGTAGTGGTTTTTGTTTTGTTTTGTTTTTTTAAATAGGGACGAACACTTGACCATTTTGTTGAAGTGAAATACCAGATGAGAAAGAAATTTTTCTCTTGACTTAAAAAAAAATTATTGAGGAATTCTGGTTATTAAAAGCCTTAAAATTTATTGATTTATAAAGACTACTCATAATTTAGCATATTTTGTCATAGCATATACAAATCTAAATAAAGAAGATAAACTATCTTTAAACAGCTGATGTAGTAGAAAGAGCATTGGTCTTGGAACCAGCAGATGTAGTTTTGAGTCTTGACTCTGCCATTTACTATCTGATAACTTTGGGCAAGTGACATGAATTCTGAGTCCTAATTTCCTCGTTTATAAGGAGGGGAGAAAACTTAACATTTATATAATATATAACTTACATATGTAATATGTAAAAGTGTTTAAAATTTGTTACTTCTTTTAAACCAACGTTTTAAATTTACAAAACTTAAGAATTCAAGTAACATTTTAAAGGTTAAACTGTGTCATTACCCTTGAAATCTTGATGAGTTTTTATTAGCAAAGTTTATTTATAATTTCTTTTACCACCTGAAATGAGAAAGCTAGTTGCGCTGCTTGTGTTATTTCTACCTGAAGAGGTAATGTGCTTGGAAGCTTGAAGAATAGCAACAAAGCCAGTTGTTTAACTAATTATTACGAGTAAAAAGATTACTCTGAAAGGAGAATAAAAGAGCCAATGGGAGTGCATAACATAGCTTTCTGTTCTGTGGAATCAGGAAAAGTTCTCTAGGACATGTCATTTAAGCTCAGACCCAAAGGAGCCTGCAAAGGGAGTTGAAAAGGCTGGAGTATCCAGATATGAAACATTCTGCTCATTCAACACAGAGAGCTGCTTTTGATTCCTCTTCTTATAACAATGATAAACCATGGAAACAGAAAGCAATGAATATCCTGATTTTTAAATGGTTCAATATGGGAATCAACTTGACTCTTAACCTACGTTAGTAATACTACCAAATACTGGAGTAGTACTTTATTGTTTAAAAGCACTTACAGTTCTTGTTAACCATATTTACTAGATAGGACATTGAGGCTCTGAGAGGTTAGAAGTTAACTTGCCCAAAACACACAGCTAATATATGGCTGAATTGGGAGTCAAATGTGGGCATTCTAACCCTAGTCTAGTGGTTAATCCACCATGCTAGTTGTTTCAAAATTGTTTTTCTTTTAATTATGCTACAGATAGACTAAAATGACATTATAATGTAAGTTACATTATTTATAGCTTAAACACTTCTTACTGTTTTTTTAATGCTTTATTTACAGACGTATTTCTTCTAGTGTTGCCTAAGCTTGTCTGAATTTCATTACAAAGTTGTAAAAAGGCATTTTACCTTGGCTTGGCATGTGTTATCAGGGAATCTTGTGTTTGACTTATTTTTTGGAAGGAGGGCACGTTTCAAATGCTGAATTAAACAGGAACATCTTGAGAGAATGTTTTGATTTGAGGTCATATATCTGCTGATTAATTCTATTTTAAGTGAAAGATGTTTTCTGTTTGTCACAGATATTTGAATGGTGGTACTTCCATAAGCACGGCACATCTTTTATTGAGCAAGTATCTGTAAGCCATTTGCGACCACTGATGGGAGGAACAGAAGGCAGCATTGCAGAGCCAGGTTCTCCTTCCAGCAGCAGAGAAAGTGAAACCAGCAGACAGAATTTGTCAGGTGACTACTACTGACTTAATGTGTGTTCAGAGCTGTATTGTTAAGATTGTGTTTGGCTGTGGCAGATAGAAAACTCATAACAGTAGAGAGCAGTTTGTCTTTCCTTTAAATATAGGTAATCCATGGCTGATATGGAGAGCAATGATTATCAGAGACCTAGACTCCTTCTATTTTGTTTGCGACCATCTCCAATGCAGTTTTTCCTTGTGGTTCCAGACATTTCCTCTGGCTTCAGCCATCATGTCCACAGTCTAGTCATTAGGAAGGAGAATAAGCCAGGAGAAGACATTTTCCCCACACCCCACCCCACAGCAACCAAGGACACTTCCAAGCAGCGTCACATACTATTTCAACTTACTTTCTACTGCTCAGACCTTTGTCATATAGCCAGAACTAGCTGTAAGGGAGGCTAGAAATTATAATCATTTTCTCAGTGTATATATGCACAGGTGATAAGGGGATCTTATTACTGATAAAGGAGAGAACAAAGACAATTAGTCATCTCTGCCAAGAGAGCAAAGTTAGGAAAAATAGTTTTTCTTCTCAGTATATTTACAAAGACATCAAAATCTGTTATTCATGTATGGATAATCTGTTGTCATACATAAACTGTAGACTATTCCTTTATATATATCTAGTAATTATGCAATTAGGAAAGTAAAATATTTGAAGCCAGATAGAAATCACATTTTTGGATTATTGTTTCTTTCATTTGGTATAGGTTATAATCATACAGTTAACTCATACAAATGCGTTAATTCTGCAGAATGTCATAATGTCTCATTTGTTCAGTAAACCTAACCACTAGAGTTATATTAATTTAGTAGAAAAATACTACCTGAATGCAGTTGCTGGCACTTTTTAGGTGTGATCAGGGAAAGTCTGTAAGAAAGAACTGTTTAAATGGAGCCCTAAAGCTTGAGTGGGGGACTTCCCTGGTGGTGCAGTGGTTTAAGAATCTGCCTGCCAATGCAGGGGACATGGGTTTGAGCCCTGGTCCGGGAAGATCCCACATGCCGTGGAGCAACAAAGCCTGTGAACCACAACTACTGAGCTTGTGCTCTAGAGCCCAGAAGCCACAACTACTGAGCCCTTGCACCACAACTACTGAAGCCTGCTCACCTAGAGCCCATGCTCTGCAGCTAGAGAAGCCACCACAATGAGAAGCCCACACACCTCAACGAAGAGTAGCCTCCACTCACCACAACTAGAGAAAGCCCATGTGAAGCAACGAAGACCCAATGCAGCCATAAATAAGTAAATAAATAAATTAAAAAAAAAAAAAAGCTTGAGTGGGTGTTGACCAGGATTAGTAGGGATGAGGTTGGCAGCCATTCAGGAGTACAGGAAGGAATAATGGTAATTTTCTCTGCCCTACTCCTTTCTCCCCTTTCATGAAATAATTACGGAACTCTTAAGAATAAAGCATATTAAGATGAATATGAGGGACTTCCCTAGGGGTCCAGTGGTAAAGAATCCACCTTACAATGCAGGGGACATGGGTTCGATCCCTGGTCAGGGAACTAAGATCCTACACGCAACGGGGCAACTAAGACTGCGTGCCACAGCTACTGAGCTTGCGCGCCTCAACTAGAGCCTGCATGCTGCAAACTACAGAGCTCACGCTCTGGAACCCGCACGCCACAACTATAGAGCCCATGTGCCCTGGAGCCTGTGCACCACAACTAAAGAGAAAACCGGCGTGCCGCAACTAGAGAGAAGCCCATGCACCACAACGAAGATCCTGTGTGCTGCAACTAAGACCCCATGCAGCCAAAAATTAAATAAATAAACAAATAATCTTAAAAAAAAAGATGAATATGACAAAGATGTGTCCTCAAGAAGCTCCGAGTCCAGTATGTAAATAATTATAACAATAATTCATTATACAGTCTTATTCCCTATTGTGAGATTGAATATACCATTGCATAATGAAAGTGAAGATAACCTCAAGAACATTCCAGCTTGGTATAGGATACAGACATATAAATAAGTGATGGCAAAAGATATAAAAGATACTTTTATATAGTGTATGGAAGATACTATGGTGATGAAAAGAGGGAATGGTCAGTTATTGGAAGGAAGGCCACAAAATGTTTCACAGAAGAGATGCATGAATTGACCTCAGAAGTGAGTCACAGTTCTCCTTTGGTTCCACTTTCTCTCCCTGGGTAACTGCATCTCCTTCTATAATATTATCATCCACAGACATATATATTGGGATTACCAATGTTAACTTTCTGTCCCCAAGCTCTCTTTTATGTTCTAGACCCACATTTCTAACTCTTTGCTAGAAATCTCCACCTTTGATGGCCTTAAGCAACCCTAAACTCATTCTGTCCAAAGTGAAACTGCTAATTATCTTATTTTAATAGGTACCTTCCATAATCCTAAAATCTATTAATTTCCAAAATAGAAACCTTTGAGTTGTTTTAGATTATATCACTTTTATTTCCCCTTCCTTCTCTAGACTATTGACCCTCATCGTATGCTATTGATTCCCCTCAAAAATTACCTTGACTCTATTTTACCTTCTTTTATTTCAACATTCAGTGTCCCATATGTAGGCCTTAGATATCTCTTTCCTGGACTATTGCTGTATATCCTAACTGGTTTCCCTGCCTATGATACTTCTCCTTTTAGTACATTCTCTCCCCTTACTATGTAAAAAAGTGGTTCTCAAATTTTTTAGATTCAGGAATCGTTTATACTCCTAAAAATTATTGAGGACCTCAAAGAGCTTTTGTTTATATATTGATTATATCCCCAATATTTACCATATTAGAAATTAAAACAGAAATTAAAAAAATATTTATTTATTAGTTATTTTTTAACATAACAGGAAACCCATTGCATGTTAACATAGTTCTATGAACTGAACTGTGTCTCTCCTCCACCTCAAATTCATATGTTGAAGCTGTAACCTCTAATGTAACTATATTTGGAGGCAGGGCTTTTAGGAGGCAATTAAGGTTAAATGAGGTTGTAAGGGTGAGGTTCTACTGTGATAGGATTGGTAGCCTTAGGAGAAGAAGAGAGATTAATTTCTCTCTACACTATGGGAGGAGACATGTGAGAACACAGGAAGAAGGCAGCCATCTGTAAGCCAGGAAGAGAGCTTTTACCAGAATCTAACCATGTTGGCACCCTGATTTCAGACTTCCAGACTTCAGAACTGTGAGAAAATAAATTTCTGTTGTTTAAGTCACCCAATCTATGGTATTTAGTTATGGCAGCCTGAGCTAATACACATATCATGAAAAATAATTATATTTTCCAAAACGAGAAAATTTTAATCAGAAGACTGCCATTTCTTTACATTTATTTAAATCTCTTTAATATCTAGCTTAATAAAAAATTGCTTATTCTCATATCTGCTTCTGCATTGTTGTGAAATGTTGTTTTGCTTGACATCTATGAAGAAAATCTGTTCTCACACAGATATGTAATTGGAAAAGGGAAAAGTATTTTAATAACCTTTTCATAAGGTTGTGGATATTCATTTTCAATACAACACCAAAATTTACTGAGGTACTTTCTTAAAGTTGAGTTGCAATGTGGAATCTGAAGCTATATCAGTTAACTTTTCATGTTCTGTACATTAAAATCCCTTGGTGTCCCATTTTGAATGGGTCTTTCACTTATGAATAATTTTATAAATCATGCATCGGCCATTTGGAAAATACTTGTTCCCTGAGTTATACATGTCTTCCAAATATTTAAATATTGTATAATTTCTAAAATGACATTTGTTAATATCACCACTAATCTCACAGGAAAGCCTTTAAGTTGAGAAATTGTCAAGCTCATGGTAACTGATACAAGTTTTTCATAATTCTAATATGTACTTGAAAGCTCAAGTTTTATCATTGGCAGCAAATACTACTTTTTCTTCCTTGAATTTGACAGACTCACTTTGTTCAACTTTGAGAAAATGTTTGCCAGGTATCTGTCTGAATAATCATAAATTTGTCTGTTAGTGACTCTTTCAAGTAAAAGTGAGATTCCATGAAAAAAAAAAAAAGGTCAGTCCAGCTCAAAAAACAATTGCTTATACTGGAGACAACCATCATATTTGGTTGCCTTGTTTACTGGGGTGGGGGTGAGGAATCCAAAGACCACTACTTTAAAGTACCAGCAGTTTTACCAACCTTTGATTTGTACCATTAGCCCAACTTTGCAGGACTGGGACTAGTGTGAGGTAAGTCAGGTGCTTGGGCCACAAATTTAAGGACGCCCTTATTCTCAGGGTTGGGTTCAAGTCAACAAGTTAAAAAGGCAAACAATGTCTTAGCATTTATTATGAAACGAGTTGTTACTTTGCAGTTCCATGAATGATACTTTGAGAACTGCTGATCTAAACAGAGTCCTGATATTTGTTATTTTTCTGTTTATAAACATTTGATGGCTTCTGATTGACTAAGGATAATGTCTAAACTCTTTACATGGTATGTAAGCCCCTTCATCAATTTCCCCCAGTCTATTTTCTAGCCTCATTTACAGCTCCCCCTCTCACCTTCTACCATGTACTCTAACCTAAGTATGCTGTGTGGTTTTCTGGTACTTCTCTGCTTAGAATGTTCTTCATCTGGCAACCTTCTACTCATTTTTACAGTGGTTCAAGTTTAAATGTCACAGCCTTTCTAAAGTCTCCCCTAATTTCTCCAGAGCAAACTTAATCACTTCATTTTTATCTCTTGGAACAAAATATATCTCTATCATAGCACTATCACACAGTGTAGGTGATAGTTTACATAACTAATTCTCATGCTACACTTAATTCAGTTAAGTTAGTTCCAAATGCTGTGGTTCCAGAAGTACAAAATGAGCAAAGTTTTTTTGAGCACAGGCTCTGGGCGCGCAGGCTCAGTGGCCATGACTCACGGGCCCAGCCGCTCCGTGGCATGTGGGATCTTCCCAGACTGGGGCACGAACCCGTGTCCCCTGCATCGGCATGCGGACTCTCAACCACTGCACCACCAGGGAAGCCCCTGAGCAAAGTTTTAAAAGCTCATATTTTAAAGGAGAAACTGAAAACCAGATAGTCACATTGTAATATGGTAAGTGCTGTACTTGAATTGTGAACCAAATGCTATGGAGACAGAAATAAGGGAATGACTAGATTTGGTTGTATACTGCGTGACAGCAGGGGTGATCCATGCCTTATTCATCTTTGTGCTATATGTGGCTAGCACTGTACTTAGCATACAGTGACTATACATGTTGACCAAATTAAGATTTAACTACATTTGATTAAACTGTCTTATTTTCCCCCTTTTTCTCTTTGTTTTTTAGAATGCAAGGTATGGAGAAATCCTCTAAACCTTTTCAGAGGAGCAGAATATAGGAGGTATTACATTTTGCTTTCAGTATAATTATGGCATTGGTTTTAGAATAAAAGTATTATGGAAAAATTTATTTTTACAAATATATTACAGCTCTTCTGGTTGGAGATACTGATAGAAGGTAAAATGATTAGCCCAAGGTTTAATTGGCAGCATCTTGACTATATTTACTTTTATAATCATGAGAAACATTGCTTCAAACCATATGTTTCTGATTTAAGTATACATTTGGCTCTTGGTTTATGGCAGAAAGCCTTTTCAAAGAATTCATGAGATTGAGAAAAAATTGCAAATGTCAGCATATTCCTGTGCACATGTGCTCAGTTGCAAACTTTATTTGATGATTCACTAGAAAATATCAATCTGAATGTGAATATAAATTTCATTTGTGCAACAGTACAGAGCATGATATTTTTATATTATATTTCGTATTGCCATTCCCTAGCTACACTATTATGTCCATTTCTCTTCTGGTTTTTATTCTAAATGAGAAAACGACTTTTGAAACTTATGACCAAAGATACTTTACTTTTGTTTTGGAAAGGGCTGTGTTTTACCTGGAGGTAGACTGGGGCATGTTATTTAATTAATTGAACAAGAAACAGTTTATGTCTACTATGTATTGGCACTATGCAAAATGATGGGGATACAAAATAATTTAGCAGTAATCCTTGTGCATAAGTACTTGATAGTGTAGGACAGTCACATCCTGGGAAGCCAAAGCTAGGCTTTTATGATAGATGCCACTAGCCTATATTAAGGGATTCTGCAAGAAACAGGTCCTTGAACTTCTCACTGTGTTTATTTAAAAGTTTTTAGGCTATTCTTGTTATCTTATAGTATCTACTTCATGAAAATCTTAAAGAGAAATTCATCTTAGTATAACGAACTCTTAATGCTTCTTTTTTGAATGATTAGTTTGTCTTAATGTAAAAGTCTAAATTGCACTGGTAATCATTGTGTGGTTCTAGGAAGCTTGGAATCATATCGTAGCCAACCTTTAGCAAGTGTATAGAACTCTTTGGTATGAGCCATTTTATGGCCAAATCCTTGTTTTACTTTACTGAGTCTTTTAATATTTACTGCTAATTTAAGTTATTGATACTGTGCATGTGTTTTTTAGCTGCTTTAAATCATTTTGGGGTTAATGTAGATCGTTCTTTTTTTTTATGATTTTAGAAAGTATACCAAACTTTGCTAAATGAACAAGGATTTGCTTTTTCCTTTTTCATGATAATTTCTCCTAAAATAGCTAAAAACTTTAAATAGAAACTTTAAAGGCAATTTATACAATTAAATAACTTAAAATCTTTGATCATGTATATAAATAACACAATGTGCTTTTATTTTTATTTTTATTTTTATTTTTATTTTTTTCGCGGTACGCGGGCCTCTCACTGTTTGAGGCCTCTCCCGTTGCGGAGTACAGGCTCCGGACGCGCAGGTTCAGCGGCCGTGGCTCACAGGCCCAGCCACTCCGCGGCATGTGGGATCTTCCCGGACCGGGGCACGAACCCGTGTCCCCTGCATCGGCAGGCTGACTCTCAACCACTATGCCACCAGGGAAGCCCACAATGTGCTTTTAAAATGATTTTTCTGATTATAAAATATATACATGTTCATTGTAGAAAGTTGGAAAATAAAAAGATGTATGAGAAAGAAAGTAAAAAATCACCTTTTTCTACCACTAAGTGATAACTGCTGTTAGTATTTCCATCCAGTCTATCTTCTATACACTTATATAGAAACAAAACTTGAACATCATAATATATAAGATTCATTATGTGTGAATTTACCACAGAATTTCTTCAAAACATGAATTTCTTCAAAAACATGATTTTTAATAGTTGTACTGTATTCTATTATATGGAGGTACCATACATAACTTACCTACTGCTCCCCTATCCAGGTCACAGGTTATATTTCACTGTTAACATTTACTCTAGAGGGACAGCTTTATATATAAATCTTTAGCCACATATATGATTATTTCCTTAGGGTTGATTTGTAGCACTGGAATTACTGAATCAAAAGGTGTGAACAGTTTTTTTTCCCCCCTTTAATTTTTTCTTTCAATGGTGGAAAATTTCAAAAATAAACAAAAGTAGAGAGAGTGGTATAATGGAATTCCATATACCCATCATCTAACTAGGTGTTATTTTTAAGACTCTTGATAGATATTATCTAATTGATTTCTGGAAAAAAATGTAAATACCAATTTATATTTATAATAGCAATATGTGTGAGTCCCACCTCACCCTATATATTTGCCAATTTTATAGTTGAATAGTCAAAATTAGTTATTTTAATTTGCTATTTGTTAGTTACCAATGAGACTGGATATTTTAAAATGTATTTATTAGACAGTTTGTTACCTGCTATTAATTATTGAGGGTTTTAGGGGGAAATGAAAGGTAAAATTTCTAATTTAGTAAAATCTGAAGTTTTTTTTTGCTTTTACGGTTTGAAAACCCTTTATCATCTTGACATCTAGTAAAAATTCACTTGTTTTTTTCTAATTTTTTTGTAGTTTTACTTTTAATACTTAATTCTAATTCACTGAGAATTTATTTAAGTATACTTTAAAAAGTATATATTTAAGTCAAATTGTTTCATCTTCAAATTCAATTTTGAAGCACTGTTTGTTGAATAATCTACCTTTTCTGTTTTGGTTTTTGATGTTTTATTATTGTACTCGTAAGTAGTTTGGATAGGTTATCTCTTTTGCTTTATTGATTATAATAAGCTTTTGAAACATCCTGAAATAAGATTTGTAGCAGTATATTTTTGAATTTTAGAAAGTATCTGTTGTAGCAGACAGATGCTCTCTCATGTTCAATTTACATATTTTATTGTGTTTTGGTAAAGATACACTTGGGTGACTGGTAAAGAGCCACTTACATACTATGACATGAATTTGTCAGCTCAGGACCATCAGACCTTTTTCACCTGTGACACGGACTTTTTACGTCCTTCAGACACAGGTATGTGTCATAATCTGTTCTTGGGGTAAACAGTAGTCATAAAAATTATTTTTAAAGTTTTTTAGAGTTATTTATTATACAAAGTTATTTGGCTTGGAGTTTGCATCATTGATAAGAAACCCAGATTAAATTGAAACTAATTATGATTGTAAACTAGGTTATCGTACTTTTTTGTCTTTTATAAGATGAAATTTAAATTCTTTATAGAATTTAAAGTATTTTACGAAAATTAATTAAATTGCTTCTTTTATTACTTAAAAAACCTTTCAGATTGAATACAGCAATTGCTTATACAGAGAACAGTGTACCCAGTTTTGGTTGGGGAAGTTAACACCTATAATTATACATTAAAAAAAAAAAGAATAAGGCAAAGTTAAACATTGGGGCACAGCATGTAGAGAAAAATGGGGTATATTTTATTCCAGTCATAAGTCAGAGATGCATGTAAAGTGGTAGAAGATCATAGAAATGTCTGTGTTTAGTTCTGTCTAATCTTCTCTGTAAAAGTGAGTATAGAAACTCTTAAATGTTTGGCTTAAAGACAGGGATCTTTGTCACAACTATTTCGACTGCCTTCTCCCACCTTATCAATGCTTCTCCTTTTATCCTTCAAAATTAAAAGTCTCATTCTTTGGGAAGCCTTCCCTGATCTTCTCTGCAGTTCTACAGTACTTAGTCACAACCTCACTTTTATAATAATTTTAGTTAATTTATTCAACTGTAAACACTTATTTGTTAGTTTATCATGTTGTTTTAATGTTTGTCCTCCCTAATAATGTGTGAAACTGTGGAAATTAGGGACTATACTTGTCATCTTTGAATCCCTGTCATCTAGAACACTGCCTGATATACTGTAAATATTAATATTTATTCTTTGATGGAAGTATGAATGAATGAATAGCCTTGGTGTCACAGATGTCTTAAGCAATTTCAGTAATAATAGCTAACACTTGTATAACACTTATTTTGCGCCAAGCACTGTTCTAAGCAATTTATATAAAGATACTAATTTAATCTTCCCAGTCACTTCATGATATAGGTACTGTTATCAGCCACATTTTAAATATAAAGGAACTGAGGCAAAGGGGAGACAAGTAACAATTCCTAGATCACCTAGCTAATAAAAGAAAAAGCTGGGTTTCAAGCTCAAGTTTGGCTCTTAACCACTATACTATTACTGCTTCTACTCATCACATTGATAGGCAGAAGAAAATCACCAACAGTTAGGGTCTGAAAAACAGCCAGTTTTCCAACATTGAAGTGAGTTCATTGTGCTATATATCTCTGCTGCATTAAATATATTCAGCATCTGTAGTAGCAGGAAACCCAAGGATCTTTGGTATAGTTACATAAAATGGTTTAATTGCAAATCAGAGAAAAAGGAATTGCTGTATGTTTATGTGCTTAATGTTTACATTAATGGCAAAAGTATAATGTTAAGGAAATAACAGCAGTGGAAAATCAGTATTGTATGTTAACTATGAGGACTGAGGTGACTCTGGATATTAAGGCTTCACCTCCCTCTCATGGGCAGAATTGCAAACCTTGGTAGGCTTTTCAAATAGCAACCATGGCTATCCACTAAAGCTGTGGTCTTAAAACATTTTTGTTCACATACCTCCTAAAAGAATTTTGAAAAACTATGTATCCCTTCACACATTTTTAACTTGACATCATAAGGTTAAATAATTGCAAAGAATGTAATTTTTAACATATTATAAATATAGACATTTAAAAATAAAACTAAAATACTCTATATTTGAATGTATTTCAAGGAATCTAATGACTTGATATCCACCATGATCCATTGAAAAGTACATGAACAAATACTCTAACAGTAGTAAATTTTATATAAGTACTTTTTCTTGTTGAACTCATCCATTCCACACCTCTGTATGATTTTATTATAATTATTTTATATTTGAGAGTTTTTTAATCACACTTAAATACTTTTCCACAATAAACAGTTTTTGTATAATTTTTTTTAAATTTAAGTTTCTTTTGATCATAAAGTTCTAAATGGAATCATGTACTTTATATTTTTGTCAAATCCTTCGAGCTACATATTTGGCTCTTACAACTTTGGAAAGAGTCCTCCATATAACCTAATTGGCTGGGTGAGTTCTTATTGTCATTCCTGTCAACTAAATCAGACTTACTTTCTGACAGAGAAGTCTGACTTTATTTTTTAATTCAAATAAACATGTTAACATGCATCCCTATGACAACCATCTCTCTTCTGAATTCAGATTCTAAGATAGAAAGATAGATAAGTCTTAAAGCCTTGCCGTGAGCTTATCACTTGGCCAAAACAAGATTCCACTGCCTTTATTATCCCTTACTAATGCTTTCTTTGCCTTATTATGAGGTTACCTTCCCTTAGGAGCAATGCATGCTTTGATAGTAAGGGGAGAAAGGGTGCTGATAAATGGAACTGATAAAAATTATCACTCCCTCCCCACTCTACAATATACTTGAATTCAGAAATTCCAGGGGCCAGAATACTCTATTTCTAATGCTGAGCTTCACTGTTAAATAAGTAAATGGCACAAATCCCTATTATAGGTTCCTTGATTAAAAACGGTTCCTACCAAACCCAAACTTTGAATTGTCCCTTGATGCACATGGAGATCTTTACACTCGAGGGCAATGTACCTTGGAAAGATTCAGGATGGGTGAAAAGTTAAGCTTTTCTTTTGTAAAGTAGGAAAAGGTAATATATCTTTAGGGGACGCACTGAGTCGGGGAGCGTATGTTGGCTAGGAAAGGAAAACCAGCATGACAGACCAATCAGAGGAACATTCTTCAGGTAGATCAGTTATAGGAAAGAGTCATATATAGTTGAAGCTTTAGAAATTGATTCTCTTAAAATGGTGTGTCCCATTTTGGTCCTTGCAAAGTTTCATGTCGTACTTCTAGAGGTATGCATAATCCCAGTTAAAGACTGAACTAAACCTTATCCACAAATGATAATCCAGAAATGGACTGTTGGTTCCATATTGATCTTTTCAGATATTCACATAAAGATAATGATTTATGTCTATAGTTTTATATTAAAAAAAGACAAACGTGCCTATATGTGTGATGTGACAAATTTCTCTTGACTCTTGTCATCAGTAATTACTAAATTAGTAGATTTTTTTTTAAATAAATGTATTTATTTTATTTTCTTTATTTTTGGCTGCGTTGGGTCTTCATTGCTGTGTGCAGGTTTTTCTCTAGTTGAGGAAAGCTGGGGCTACTCTTCATTGTGGTGCGTGGGCTTCTCATTGTGGTGGCTTCTCTTGTTGTGGAGCACAAGCTCTAGGCACTCGGGCTTCAGTAGTTGTGGGTCACAGGCTCTAGAGCACAGGCTCAGTAGTTGTGGTGCACAGGCCTCATGGCATGTGGGATCTTCCCGGAGCAGGTCTCGAACCCCTGTCCCCTGCATTGGCAGGCAGATTCTTAACCACTGAACCACCAGGGAAGCCCTAAGTTAGTCGATTTTTGTTCTTATTCTATTGATTTGTTTATTTAGGACAGTGAACAAACATATTCTCAGGGCCAGCCAGCAGTGTTTTTTTGGTTAATTTGCTTTCATGTTTTTGGTTTTTTTTTCAACATTTAAAAAAATCAGGAGATTTAACATTAAACTCCAGATTTACAATTTTAAGTTGGGAAATATGGACCTGCATTTCCACTTGGCAGTAATTAGTTAGACCTGAGCTGTGACTCTCTTAGACAGTGCATGTGCTTTTAGTTCAGTCATTTATGTTTTCTGCCTGGTCTCAAGGCATTTATATTTGTGACCCATGGTCTTGGGTTGAATGGTAGTCTCTTCTGCTGGTTAGCATATTAGAATAGTATTTAACTTGAAAAATAGATAAATTTTTGATTGAATTGTTAACTGCTCGTGTTATTTTTTAAGCATATCGAGTATTCTTAAAGAGGACAGTTGAATACTAAATGAGCATATTGCTTTAAATTATTCCTAAACCTTGTTTTAGAAGGAAGTATATTCCTTCCTCTACTTTATTTCCCCTTTCCTCATTGGCTTAGAAGTGCATTGGTTGTGAGGAATAATAAGGCTGGATAGAGCATTTGAAAACATGAGAATAAGAAAAAATGCTTAATGGTGGATTAGATGACCTTACTAGAAATAGAAGAAATGCAAATGCAAATGAGATAAGTTTTCATGTTTTAAATTAGCAAAGATTGATACTACTCAGTGTTGTTAAGGGAGTGGGGAAATAGTCACTCTCCTGCACTGCCTGAAAAAATGTAAATTAATACAGTCTCATTGAGAGGAGTTTGGAAATATATATCCAAAATCTTTTAAAAGATGCATACAGGCCTTCCCTGGTGGAGCAGTGGTTGAGAGTCTGCCTGCCGATGGCAGGGGACACGGGTTTGTGCCCCGGTCTGGGAAGATCCCACGTGCTTCGGAGTGGCTGGGCCCGTGAGCCATGGCTGCTGAGCCTGTGCGTGTGGAGCCTGTGCTCCGCAACGGGAGAGGCCACAAACAGAGGCCCACATACCACTAAATAAATAAATAAATAAGTAAGTAAATAATCAATCAATCAATCAATCATACATTTTAACCAACCATTCCACTTCTAAAAATGAAATATTTGGTCAGGTTTGCAAAGATAGATGTTGAAAGATGGTTATCACATTTCTGTATTAGCAAAACATTAATTATCCATCAAAAGAGAACTGGTTAAATAAATTACTGTATATACTTAATATGCTAGAATACCAAATAACCATTTAAACTGTTAATAAAGATTCAGTGTCAAAATTTAACCTGAAAATATCATGTAACTTACAGAAGAGCGCCTCGATCAAAAATGGCAAGTCAAATATTATACTTGATTTTTATGTAATATTTTAATGTTTAAGCAAAATGTTATTCTTTACCTGGTTATTATCAAATGGGTGCTGACTTGCATCAATTTGTCAAGTTCAGGAAGCATTAGCTGTCAGCTAGCTGGTGACATGTTTGATCTGAGAAATGTATTTTTGTTACCCAAGTAGAATATATTGTCTCCTTTTCTAAGCCAAAACTAATATTTTGTTTCCAAAGGAAAACTCAAACATTTTCCACATTTTTCTTTCTGGACAGTTGTAGGTTTTGTTCCAAAAGCAACATTCATAGATTCTCTGTTTTTCTTATCAAACTTGAAATAAGCCAGATAGTTTCATGGATCTACTTTGTTTGTTTAGTTTTTTAAAAAATTTTTATTTATTTATTTATTTGGCTGCATCAGGTCGGGTCTTAGTTGCGGCACATGGGATCTTTGTTGCGGCACACGGGCTTCTCTCTGGTTGTGGTGCTCAGGTTCCAGAGTGTGCGGGTTCTCTAGTTGTAGCATGTGGGCTCCAGAACGCGTGGGCTCAGTAGTTGTGGCGCACGGGCTTAGTTGCCCTGTGGCATGTGGGATCTTAGTTCCCTGACCAGGGGTCAAACCTGCATCCCCTGCATTGGAAGGTGGATTCTTAACCACTGGACCACCAGGGAAGTCCTTGTTTGTTTAATTTTTAAGAAACTTTGCTTAGTGTGAAATTTTAATTTTGGTGCAGTAAATGACAACAAAACTAATATTGTTATTCCAGAGATATCCTAATTCAGGCTTTTCTTGACTCTTAGTAGAGACTGACATTTTCCATAAATATACTATAGTCTAAGTTAATTCCTTTTTACCCCCCTTTTTATACAAAATGTAAATTCAAACATTCTTCATGGATTGAATCACTGATTAAAAAAATACTGTGTTTTTTAAGTTTTTTTGTATATTTTTAACAGTTCCATAGAACCTTCTCAAGAGGATAAAGGAACTAGAATATTTCATGGATTATAATCTGATATCAATTTTAATATGCATTTAGATATATGAATGTTCATGTATAATGATGTAATTAACTTAAGTACCATCTATGTTATTATTCATATAAATCAGGGAAATAATATTTTAATTTCTACTTTATGTGAAGCTTCCAAATTTAATGTAAATTTCTCATGAGGTTAATGTGAGCCATCACCCCCATTTCTTATTTCTTATGTTTAAGAACATGTTATTTAAATCTTTGTTTACTCTTCTAACTCATTCTTCATACGTTTTGCATGAGATACTTTATGTTTACCATATCATCTACTTTTTGAAATGTTTTTCCTACAGTTATGCAGAAGGCATGGAGGGAAAGAAATCCTCCAGCTCGAATCAAAGCAGCCTATCAAGCTTTAGAATTAAACAATGAGTAAGTTTGAAATATATGGAAAATAAGTTTGTTTTGAAGGAAACCCAGGCAAGTGATTTTGTTTCCTTTTTTCTGTTCCTAAGATACTTGGAGTCATTAATAGTCCCCTTTCTCTTTTTGTGTACTAGAGACAAAATTTGCAATGTTCATTGAAATTTGTATTTTGTTTCTGAAATTGTAAACTAATCTATACTTTTGAATAGAAATTATGCTAGAAATACTTCATAAAAGGGAGAATGCTGATCTGATTGGTGATAATACTTGATAATTAAAGAGTACTAAAATACTTAAGCCACCTGTTTTAATTTTGTTTTTCGTTTAAGTCATTTATTTAAAGCATTCATTCAGTCTTGAGAACTGTAGTTGCTAGTAGAATTGGAGGCATGGGAAGGGAATTCAAAATAAGTAAAACATGGCTCTAATTTAATTTTTTTTTTTTTTTTTTTTCCTTGCGTTATGCGGGCCTCTCACTGTTGTGGCCTCTCCCATTTGCGGAGCACAGGCTCCGGACGCGCAGGCTCAGTGGCCATGGCTCACGGGCCCAGCCGCTCCGCGGCATGTGGGATCTTCCCGAAACGGGGCACGAACCCGCGTCTCCTGCATCGGCAGGCGGACTCTCAAGCACTGCGCCACCAGGGAAGCCCTAATTTAATTTTTTTTAATGTTAGCAGCTTTTATTTTATTTATTTATTTATTTTTTGCAGTACGCGGGCCTCTCACCGTTGTGGCCTCTCCCATTGCGGAGCACAGGCTCTGGACGCGCAGGCTCAGTGGCCATGGCTCACGGGCCTAGCCGCTCCGCGGCATGTGGGATCTTCCTGGACCAGGGCACGAATCCATGTCCCCTGCATCGGCAGGCGGACTCTCAACCACTGTGCCACCAGGGAAGCCATACAGCAGCTTTATTTTTTTTATAGCTCCTTTTATCAACTTTATATTTTGGAAAAACAAAATGTAGAATCATAAGTGAACTTAGGGGCTTCCCTGGTGGCACAGTGGTTAAGAATCTGCCTGCCAGTGCAGGGGACACGGGTTCGTGCCCCGGTCCGGGAAGATCCCACATGCCACGGAGCAACTAAGCCTGTGCACTACTGAGCCTGTGCTTTAGAGCCTGCGAGCCACAACTACTGAAGCCTGCGTGCCACAACTACTAGAGCCCGTGCTCTTCAACAAGAGAAGCCACTGCAATGATAAGCCTACACACTGCAACGAAGAGTAGCCCCCGCTCGCCACAACTAGAGAAAGCCCGCGTGCAGCAACGAAGACCAAAGGCCGCCAAAAATAATAAATTAATTAAATTAATTTAAAAAATAAAAATAAGTGAACTTAATATTTAAATGGGACAGATCAATAAGTATTAATCTAATATTAAATAAGTGCCAAGAGTAAAAATATGGTTCCAGTTGGGATTAACCAAGGAATGCCTCCTGAATAATGTGAACTTAGCATTGTCCCTGTACCCCTCCTTACTCCCCTACCACAGATATACTAATCCTTATTAAGAAGACTTACCCAAGGTGGAACAAAAC